AAAAAGAACATCAATGCGGAGATGATGTTGTTTACGTCAAAACCGAAACCAAACCATTCACACAGAACGCATGTTTATCACATTTTCATGTAAGTTCAACTTTTTTAAAACATGTCTCAAGACTTTATGGCGGGTTTTCCCCATCCTACTGCATCTAAAGTTTTTAAATGAAGAAAGTACTCTTTGTGATTAGTTTTCGGTCCTTTTTATTAAACTATACATACATGCATGGTTCTGTTTTGTTTCTAATTGTTTAAGCAACTTTAATTATATAAGGTTTATAAACATTATTTTAAACATTATGCACTTTTTTCAAAGATAGTCATGTTATTTTATTATGCTTTGAAGAAACGTGCATAATATTTTGTTCGATGCGCCCTCTTGTGGCCTCAGGAGAGAAGCCAAAAGCTTTTTCCCCCCTAACTGAAATGATGCCTTTTAAATTCGAATATAATTTGAATATTGATAATATTTAAGTACAAAATTCTAATTTAGTTTTTCAGCCATTTTGACAGCCCTAGTAAGTATTATAATGAAATGGTTTTAAAATAGAAATGTTAATTTTGATAATGTGATGGCAAAACTGAATTTTCAGTAGCCAGTCAGAAATCATTCTAATATGCTGATTTGGTGCTCAAGACTTATCAATGTTGAAAATAGTTGTGCTGCTTAACTAATATTTTTATGCAACCTGGAATTTCTTTTTGGACATGTAAAATAAAAAATGTAAAATCCAGGTTTGTTCTTGTTGGTGTGAAATGGTCACATTCCGTGAAGGGAAGTCTTTACATGACCGCACACATTGTTTGAATGTTTAATGAGCTGATGGAAGTAACTCACTATATATTCTCACTTCTCAGACTGTAAGCTTTTGCACTGGCTCCTCGCTGCACATTTTGCACAATGTTCATAAATGTACAATTTAAGTTTCAACTTGTGAACATTTGCACTCCCCCACTTTACATATTTTGCACAAATGTAGAGTTAATGTTCATGTTTATTTTATATTTTTTATTTTATATCACTATCGGTTGCCGATCACTATCGGCCGATAATCACATTGGGATGATTGATCGGCGGTCTCTAAAAAGGCCGATCTCAAAAAAATGATCTCAAGCTGATGACGCGCCTGCCGTGAGAAGGTTTGGCATGACATGCAGCGGCACCGTCTCAGTCTCTGTC